GACTGCGGTGACGAGAGCATATGCTTCTTTGTCTGTTGCCGACCAATTACGTTGAGATTGCTGAAGAGCTGTAGAGAAATAAGCTACAGGGTGGGATTGATCGTCAGGTCCAGTTTAGGAAAGAACACCACAGACTGCGAGGTCACTGGCATCAACTTCTATAACAAAAGGTTGGTTAAGGTTCGGGAACTGTAAAATGGGCTCTGATGAAAGTTGTTCTTTCAACTGTTTGAATGCATTTTCACAGTCATCAGACCACTTAAAAACGACTGTGTCACTTGTAAGACTGTTTAAGGGTCGGCTGATTGTGGCAAAACCGGAAATGAAAGCACGATAAAATCCCGCAAGACCCAAAAACACTTTTAATTGTTTCTTTGTTGTTGGCCTTTCATAAGAACGAATTGCATCAGTCAAGCGTGTTTGAGGTTGAATGCCCTTTTTGGATAGTTCGAATCCAATAAAGTCCACTTTATGGCTTGCATAAACGTATTTGGATATCTTTAAAGATATACCAGAAGATTGGAGTCTGTGAAAAACTTGTTCAATATCAGCAAGGTGCTCCTTAAGGAGAGGCTAAATATGACGATGTCGTCCATGTACCCTAGGATACGATCAGAGTCAAGTCCTGATAATGTTATGTCCATTAATCTCTGATATGAGGCCCCCGCATTGCACAGCCCGAATGGGGTTACATTGAATTCAAATTTGCCCTGCGGTACAGAAAAGGACGTTTTTTGACAGAAAAGGATTGCATCTAATGTTGTCCAATACTCAGTGCCGTGCATTTTGTCTAAGACATCCCTGATATGGGGCAGCGGATAGCAATCTTTTTTGGTGATATCGTTTAGGCCCCGAAAGTCACACACGAAACGCATTGAGCCGTCCTTTTTTCTTACGAGTATAACAGGGGCATTCCAGGGTGAGGAAGAAGGCCGAATTATTTCATTTTTCAGCATTTCGGATATTTGTTGTTTAGTTTCCTTGTACCAGGCGTGCAGAATACGGTAAGGTTTGCGATTTACAGGCTGGACATCGTCTGTGATGATACGGTGTTGCATATTGGAAACAAGAGTTGGTTACTTTGGGTTTTGTGCAAAGATGTCGGTAAACTTGGAAATTAGAGACAAAAATTTCAGATTTTCTATCATCGGGTAGATAATCCCCATATACTATATTATCGTTAAGATTTATGGAGCTATCTTGGCCTATTTGATTGACAGATACTGGTGTGTCTTCAACTGCAATGACGGACCCAACGTGTTTTTGTGCAGGCAATGATACTGGCTTGTCACTGGTGTTTAACAGGGATATCTGAAATATACCATCAATATTCGGAATTATCCTGCATCGAGTTGCGTACAAACTACTTGAAAGTGGAAGTGATATTGGCTCGAAATCTGCAGTGATAAAAAACAATGACTTACTGCATTCCACATTTACAATAGTTTCAGATCGAGGTTGCAAAATTGCTGGATTTACCACCTTAACGGAATTGTGATTTCCTATTGTTACACAGTCATGCCAATCTGGGCCTAGCTTAATACGGTGTTTTGCAAAATCGAATTCGACGGTAGTGAAATTTGAGAGAAAATTTCTACCCAGGATGATGTCACAGTAGGTTTTTGTGTCCAGCACTTTCATGTTTTGAGAAATAGTTTTGTTATTTTTCGTAGAGATATTGACATCAATAGTTCCTGAAATATTCATATTATTGCCTGAAGCATCAATGAGCATAGGTTTTAAAATTCGTATGCAGTCCCAATTTTTGCAAACTGCCAATGTCTATCAATGAACATGTCGCCCCCGTGTCTATTAAGGCATAAATATCGTTGTTTTCAAATTTGAGGTTTAAAATAGCAGAGAATTTTTTTTCACTTGTTTCATCAATTTTTTCAGTATCATATAGTCATTGACTATAATTCGGGCAGGCCGAGTTCCAAGCGTCATGTCCTTTATTGCCACATGCCTGACAATATCTTGCGGGGCATTCCCTGACAAAATGATCAGGGTTTTGACAAGCCAGACATTTGCGGAATTGTGTGGTGTTACGACTGTACCCCCGGCTATATTCTCCACGAGACGATCTTGCACAGCTTTGGTTCCTGTTAGCTCCCATGGGACTTCTGGTGAATCGAGTGTTTACATAATTTACATTTGAGACTGGAGCTTCCCCTTCTGGATTATTTAGGGAAAATTCTTTGATCTTTTCAACAACTTATGCGGTGATCGGATCAACCAGTGTGTCAGTATTTACAGCGTTGACAGACATGTCAGAAACACCAGAACTTGAAACAAAAGAGTCAATCCCAGCCAGTTCCAGTCGAGTAATTTCTGTTGACAGCTGATTGATATTGGACGAGGAGAATTCCGGCAAGGATTTCAAAGAGACTTGCATTTTTGGGTGAAGACCCTTAATGTAATAATCCTTTGAGATTGTGCTGCGTGTGTTTTCATCGAATTGGGGGTAGGCCAACTTTACCAATTCTTGAACTTTGTACGCAAATGTTTGCGCTGATTAGTCTTGTTTCCGAGTACTTAATTCGTGAATGGCGACTTCTCGATCTTGATTCCCTCGTTCAAATTCTTTCAATAACTCAGCCTTGATCTTGCTGAAGTCTTTTTTGTTTGCGTCTGAAAGTCTCATGTACACGTCAAACGCGCGTCCCTCCAAGCGACCAGCCAAATTTTGAGCGGCCTTCTCTTTCTCGTATCCTTTCAGCGAAGGATGTATACACACTTTTTCTATAAAAACTTTAACATCACCATTGCCGTCGAAACTTTTGATTTTTGATTCCATTTCGGTAATTCGCTTGCTGTAATGTTAGATACAATATCAGAGAGAGACAGTGACTTTTGGTTTCTATTAGAACAGCAAGCGAATGAGGATGGAACTCAATACAGGGAATTATATACTAGCAAAACGGTGGTATGCTCCTAACACACGACCCGATAGCTCAGCGGTAGAGCACTTGACGTACAAAGTCAGGGGTCGTGAGTTCGAGCCTCGCTCGGGTCAGTTATTTACCTGCACTCTCTATTAATTATCTTCGAAATCCTGTTGTCTGTAAACTTTCTCTTCAACCCTATCCAATGTTGGGGCTGCGATGGCCCTCCTGGTATGGGCAGTCTTCTCTCATTCTTCAGGTCCTCTGCACTTTGTGATGGAGCTGCGATGGCTCCCCTGTCTATCTGGTAAAAGAGAGGGGCAGTGCGGGTGAATGACTCGGCCTTGTGTGTTGGCTTGAAAGCACGACCCGATTGCTCAGCGGTAGAGCACTTGACGTACAAAGTCAGGGGTCGTGAGTTCGAGCCTCGCTCGGGTCGGTTATTTACCCGCACTCTCTATTAATTATCTTCGAAATCCTGTTGTCTGTAAACTTTCTCTTCAACCCTATCCAATGTTGGGGCTGCGATGGCCCTCCTGGTATGGGCAGTCTTCTCTCATTCTTCAGGTCCTCTGCACTTTGTGATGGAGCTGCGATGGCTCCCCTGTCTATCTGGTAAAAGAGAGGGGCAGTGCGGGTGAATGACTCGGCCTTGTGTGTTGGCTTGAAAGCACGACCCGATTGCTCAGCGGTAGAGCACTTGACGTACAAAGTCAGGGGTCGTGAGTTCGAGCCTCGCTCGGGTCGGTTATTTACCCGCACTCTCTATTAATTATCTTCGAAATCCTGTTGTCTGTAAACTTTCTCTTCAACCCTATCCAATGTTGGGGCTGCGATGGTCCTCCTGGTATGGGCAGTCTTCTCTCATTCTTCAGGTCCTCTGCACTTTGTGATGGAGCTGCGATGGCTCCCCTGTCTATCTGGTTAAAGAGAGGGGCAGTCCAGGTGAATGACTCGACCTTGGGTGTTGGCTTGAAAGCACGACCCGATAGCTCAGCGGTAGAGCACTTGACGTACAAAGTCAGGGGTCGTGACTTCCAGCCTCGCTCGGGTCGTTCATTTTCCTGCACTCTGTATTAATTACCTTTGATATCCTGTTGTCTGTAAACTTTCTCTTCAGCCCTATCCAGTGCTGGGGCTGCGATGGCCCTCCTGGTGTGGGCAGTCTTCTCTCAATCTTCAGGTCCTCTGCACTTTGTGATGGAGCTGCGATGGCTCCCCTGTCTATCTGGTAAAAGAGAGGGGCAGTGCGGGTGAATGACTCGGCCTTGTGTGTTGGCTTGAAAGCACGACCCGATAGCTCAGCGGTAGAGCACTTGACGTACAAAGTCAGGGGTCGTGACTTCCAGCCTCGCTCGGGTCGTTCATTTTCCTGCACTCTGTATTAATTACCTTTGATATCCTGTTGTCTGTAAACTTTCTCTTCAGCCCTATCCAGTGCTGGGGCTGCGATGGCCCTCCTGGTGTGGGCAGTCTTCTCTCAATCTTCAGGTCCTCTGCACTTTGTGATGGAGCTGCGATGGCTCCCCTGTCTATCTGGTAAAAGAGAGGGGCAGTGCGGGTGAATGACTCGACCTTGGGTGTTGGCTTGAAAGCACGACCCGATAGCTCAGCGGTAGAGCACTTGACGTACAAAGTCAGGGGTTGTGAGTTCGAGCCTTGCTCGGGTCGGTTATTTTCCCGACTGTCTTTTAATTATCTTCGAAATCCTGTTGTCTCTAAAGTTAATATACCGTGCAGCATATTACTTCTATCAGCAATTACGGTATTCAAATAAGCAATTGAACTGGATTAGCTAAAACCATTTGGATAAAACAAACAACAGCAAAAAGCATGGATGAACGCCAGTGTTCTGCTATCATCAATGAATTCACAGAATAAATGATCTTGGCATAGTATTGTGTAGATTGAATCAATCCACCAAGCAAAGGTTTGCAAAAAAAGATTAACAGAAAGGAAATCTCTGCTTGATATCTCTTCAATCACTTCCAAAGATCACATTGACCAGTGGCACAACAAAGTTGAGACGACTGCATGCTTTTTTGCCATGGATGTTGCCGAGTTGACAGTGCATTCATGCCGGGTGCCAGCGATGTTGCCGAGTTGATGAAGACATCACTGCCAAGCACCAGGACAGGCACAAGCGCCAGCATCATCACTGGCACAAGCCCAGGCACCAGCACAGGCACCAGAAGAAGCACCAGCATCAGCATCAGCAGTACAAGAACTAGTATAAGCACCAGCACAAATGCCGGTACGGGCTGAAGCACCGGTACGAGCACCAGCAGAAGCACCAGCAACATCACAAGCATCAGCATCGGCACCAGTACAAGCAACAGCATAAGAACCAGCACAAGCACTAGTTCGAGCACCACTACCAGCACCACCAACAGCACCATCACCAGCACCATCACCAGCACAAGCACTAGCACCAGCATCAGCTCCAGCACCAGTACAGGCACAATCACAAGCGCCAGCACAAGCCTAAGGACAACCATTTGCACCAGCACCAGCACCAGCACCAGCACAAGCACCAGCACCAGCACCAGCACAAGCACAAGCATCAGCACCAGTACCAGTACCAGTACCAGTACCAACAATAGTTCCAGCACTAGGACAGGCACCAGCACAAGCACTGGCGCTCAAGCTCAAGCACAAGCAGCGGTACAAGAACCAGCAAATACACCAGCACCAGCACCAGAACCAAGCTCAAGCACAAACACTTTTACAAGCACTAGCAAAAGCACAAGCACAAGCACCAGTACCAGCACCAGCTCAAGCACCTGTACACGCACCAGCACTAACATCAGCACCAGCACAGGAACCAACACCACCACCAGCACCAGCTCCAGCAACTACACCGGTACAAGCACCATACAAGCACCAGCCTAAGCACCAGCACCAGCACCAGCTCCAGCACTAGTACAGGCACCAGCACAAGCGCCAGCATCGGCCCAAGCACCAGCCCAAGCACAAGCGCCAGCACTAGCACCAGCACCAACACCAGCACCACCATCATCTCCAGCACTGCACGAGTACCATCTCCAGCACTGCACCTGCACCAGCACCACCACAAGCAATGGTACTGGCGCAAGTTTCAGCAGAAGCACCGGTATGAGAACCAACAAACGCACAGTCACCAGTACCAATATCACCACCAGCACCAGCACAGTCACCAGCACCAGCACCAATACCACCACCAGCAAAAGCACAGGCACCAGCACTAGCAACAGCTCCAGCACTGGGTCGAGCACAAGCACCAGCACCACCATCAGCACAAGCACCAGCCCAAGCACCAGGACAGGCACAAATGCCAGCATCAGCAAAAGCAACGGCACAGGTACCAGCACCAGCACCAGCACCAGCAACAGCACCAGCACCAGCACCAGCACCAGCACCAGCCTAGACACCAGGACAGGCAGAAGTGCCAGCACAAGCACCAACACCAGCACTAGCACCAAAATCAGTCCAAGCACCAGCTCCAGCACAAGCGCCGGTACCGGTTCAGGCACCATCACAAGCACCAATACTAACTAGTACAAGGACCAGCATTAGCACAAGCACCAGCATCAGCATTAGCACCAGCACCAGCAGAAGCATTAGCACCAGCATAAGCAACAGCACAAGCACAGGCACCAGCTCCAGAACCAGCAGAAGCACCAGCACTAGCACCAGCACTGGGTCGAGCACAAGCACCAGCACCACCATCAGCACAAGCACCAGCCCAAGCACCAGGACAGGCACAAATGCCAGCACACCATCAGCACAAGCACCAGCCCAAGCACCAGGACAGGCACAAATGCCAGCATCAGCAAAAGCAACGGCACAGGTACCAGCACCAGCACCAGCACCAGCACCAGCACCAGCACCAGCAGCAGCCTAGACACCAGGACAGGCAGAAGTGCCAGCACAAGCACCAACACCAGCACTAGCACCAACACCAGCACTAGCACCAAAACCAGTCCAAGCACCAGCTCCAGCACAAGCGCCGGCACCGGTTCAGGCACCATCACAAGCACCAATACTAACTAGCACAAGCACCAGCATTAGCACAAGCACAAGCATCAGCATTAGCACCAGCACCAGCTGAAGCACAAGCACCAGCATAAGCAACAGCACAAGCACAGGCACCAGCTCCAGAACCAGCAGAAGCACCAGCACTAGCACCAGCACAACCACCAGCAATAGTACTAGTACAAACACCAGCACAAGCACCGGCACTGGTACCAGCATAAGCACCGGTACCAGCACAAACAACTGAACCAGCAACGGCACCAGCATCAGCACCGGCACTAAACCAGCACAAGCGCGAAAAGAAGCGCAAGAACCAGCAAAAGCAACAGCACCAGTACAAGAACCGGAACCAGCAGAAGCACCAGCATTAGCACAAGCACCAGCACTAGCAAAAGCACTAGTACAAGCATCAGCACAAGCACTGCCACAGGCACCAGCACCAGCACCAGCACCAGCATTAGCAGCACCACTAGCACCACCACTAGCACCAACACCAGCACCACCACCAGCACCACCACCAGCACCACCACCAGCACCACCACCAGCAGCAGCACCAGCCTAAGCAACAGGACAGGCACAAGAGCCAGAACCAGCAAAAGCAACGGCCCAGGCACCAGCACCAGCACCAGCATTAGCTCAAGCACTAGCACAAGCACCAGCACAAGCAGCGGTACCAACCCAGGCACCAGCAGAAACAACAGCATCAGCATCAGCACCAGCACAAGCAACGGGTCCAGCACAAGAACCAGAACAAGAAACAGCACCAGATCCAACACTAGCACCAATGCCACCACCAGCACCAGCGCAGGCACCAGCAGCAGCACCAACACCAGCCCCAGCACCAACACCAGCAACATCACAAGGAACGGCAAAGACACCAGCACCAGCATTAGCACCAACACCAGGATAAGCAACAACACTAGCACAAGCAACGGAACCAGTACGAGTACTAGCAGTAGTACAAGCACAAGCAGAAGCGCCGGCACCGGCTTGAGCAACATCACAAACACCACTACCAAAAGAAGCACCAGTACCAGCAAAAGCAACAGTACCAGTACAAGCATCGGGACCAACACAAGCACCAGCACCAGCAAAAGCACAGGCACCAGCTCCAGAGCTAGCAGAAGCACCAGCATTAGCACAAGCACCAGTCCCAGCAGAAGCACTAGTACAAGAATCAGTACTAACACCAGCACCAGAAACAGCAAAAGCACAAGCAGCAGCATCAGCAACAGCACCAGCACCAGCACCAGCACAAGAACCAGCAAAAGCACCAGTATAAGCACCAGCAAAAGCACCAGCAGAAGCACAAGCACTAGCACCAGCATAAGCACCAGGAGAGGCATTAGCACCAACATAACAAAGGTCGCCAGCACCAGCACCAGCTCAAGCACAAGCGCCAGCACCAGCAACAGCTCAAGCACTAGTAGAAGCACCAGCACCAGCAGCGGCATCGGCCCAGGCACCAGCAGAAACAAGAGCATCAGCACAAGCAACAGCACAAGCACCGGGTCCAGCACAACAACCAGAGCAAGAAACAGCACCAGCTCCCACACTAGCACCAATACCACCACCAGCACCAGCGCAGCAAAAGCAGCAGCAACAGCACCAGCACTAGTACAAGCACCAGCAGAAGGACCAGCTCTAGCACCAGCATTAGCACTAGTACAAGCACCATCACAAGCGCCAGCACTAGCAAAAGCATCAGCACCAGCACCAGCATCAAAACTGGCACCAGTACAAGCATAAGCAGCAGCACAAGCAGCAGCTCGATTACCAGCATCTGCACAAGCACCAGCAATAGCAGCAGCAACCGCACCACCACCAGCAACAGCACTAAGCACCAGGACAGCCACAAGGACCAGCACCAGCACCAGCTCCAGCACTCATAAAGGCCCCAGCACAGGAACTAGCACCAGGACCAGCACCAGAACCAACACCAGCACCACCACCACCAACACAACCAGCCTAAGCACCAGCATCAGCACCAGCTCCAGAACTAGCACAGGCACCAGCAGAAAACCAGCACCAGCACCAGCACCAGCACCAACTTTAGCACTAGTACAGACAACAGCACAAGCACTGGCACCAGCCCAAGCACCAGCACAGGCACCAGCAACAGTACCTGCACCAGCTCCAGCACTAGCACCAAGACCACAACCACCACCAGCACCAGCCCAAGCACCAGGACAGGCACAAGCACCAGCACAAACGCCGCCACCAGGCAAGGCACCAGCACAAGCACCAGCACTAGCACCATCACCAGCACAGGCTCCAGCACAAGCACCAGCTCCAGCACCAGCAGCAGCACCAGCACCAGCCTAAGCACCTGCACCATTTCCAGCACCAGTACTAAGTACAAGGACAGGAAGAAGGCCCAGCACCAGCACTAGCAGCAGAACCAGCACCAGCCTAAGATCCAGTACCAGTTCCAGCACTAGTAAAGGCACAAGCACCTGCACTAGCAACAGCACCAGCACCAGCTCCAGCACTAGCACCAGCACCGGCAACAGCAACAGAACCAGCACCAGCACATACCCGGGTCCAGCACAAGCAACAGCACCACCACCAGCTCCATCACCACCACCAGCACCAGTACCAACCTAAGCACCAGGAAAGGCACCAGCACCAGCATCCGCCAAAGCAAGGGCACATGTAGCAGGACCAGTACTAGCACCAGAACCAGCTCCAGCGCCGGCACCAGCCCAGGCACCAGCACAAGCAACAGCATCAGCACCAGCGCCAGGAGAAGCACCGGGTCCAGCACTACCACCACAACAAGCACCAGGATCAGCACCAACACCAGCACTAGCACCACCACCAGCACCACCGCCAGCACTAGCACTAAGCTTCAGGACAGGCACATACACAAGCACCATCACGAACACCAGCAACAGTCTAAGTACCAGGACAGGCACAAGCGCCAGCACTAACACAATCACCAGGACAGGCACCAGTACCAGCACCAGGAACAATATAACCACCAGCACCAGCAGAGGCACCAGCACCAGCACCAGAACCAGCACCAGCTTCAGCAGTAGAAGAGATACCAGCACAGGCACCAGCACAGGCATCAGTACTAGCACCAGCATCACCACCAGCACCAGCCTAAGCACCAGAACAGGCACAAGCACTAGCACCAGCACTAACGCCAGCACCAGCACCAGGACAAATATAACCACCAAACCAGCACCAGCACTAGCACCAGCACCAGCACCAGCTCCAGCACCAGCACCAGAACCAGCACTAGCACCAGCCTAAGCACCAGCACTAGCACCAGCACCAGCCTAAGCACCAGCCTAAGCACCAGCACCAGCACCAGAGCACCAGCACTAGAAGCAGCACCACCACTAGAACCAAAACAAACACCAGCACTGGTTAAAGCACAAGCAACAGGCCCAGCACAAGTTCCAGCACCACCACCAGAACAACGACTAGCAAAACTACCAGCCTAAAGACCAGGACAGGCACAAGCGCCAGCACAAGCACCAGCACTAGCACCAGCACAGTTACCAGTACCAGCACCAGAACCAGCACAAGCACCAGCACCAGACTAAATACCAGGACAGGAGCAAGCACAAGCATAAGCACCAGCACCAGCTCCAGCACCAGTACAGGCACCAGCAAAAGCGCTGGCATCGGCTCAGACAACAGCACAAGCAACAGAACCAGCACCAAAAAAAGCACCGGCACCAGTAGAAAACACTTGGTCCAGCACAAGCACCAGCACCAAAACCAGCATCAGCACTAGCACTAGCACAAGCACCAGCTCAACCACTGGCATGGGCCTAAGCTCCCGCACAAGAACCAGAACAAACACTAGCGCCAGCACAAGAGCCAGTATCAGCAACAGCAGCAGCACAAGCGCCAGCACCAGCACCAGCACCTGCACCAGCACTAACACCAGCACAAGCACCAGCAACAGCACCAGCCTAAGCACCAGGTCAGGCACAAGCGACGGCACCAGCACCACCAACACCAGCACCAGCCCCAGGATAAACACCAGCACAAGCACCAGCAGTAGAAACAGCACCAGCACAAACACTGGGTCCAGGACAAGCTCCAGCACTAAAACCAGCATTAGCGCCAGCACTAGTACATGCAGCAGCTCAAACACTGGCATGGGCCTAAGCTCCAGCACAAGCATCGGTACAAGAACCAAAACAAACACCAGCACAAGCGCCAGCATCAGCAGCAGCACCAGCACAAGCACCACCACCAGCACCACTACCAGCACCTCCACCAGCACCAGAAATAGGCACCAGCTCCAGCTCCAGCTACAGCTCCAGCTCCAGCTCCAGCTCCAGGCAGCAGCACCAGCACAAGCCTAAGCACCTGGACAGACACAAGCACCAGCACCAGCACCAACGGCAATACCACCACCAGCACCAGCACTGGCACTAGCACTAGAACCAGCTCCAGCACCAGCACTAGCCCCAGCCCCAGCACAAGCACCAGCACTAGCAAAAGAACTAGTACAGGGACCAGTACAAGCGCCACGTGACAACATGAGAAGCAACAGCACCAGCACCAGCACGAGCAGTTAGTCCAGCAAAATCACTAACACTAGAACCAGCCTAAGCACCAGCACCAGCACCAGTACAAGCACCAGCACAAGCGCCAGCACAAGCGCCAGCACCGGCCCAAGGACCAGCATCAGCACCGGCATCAGTATCAGCACCAGAACCAGCACCATCACCAGCACCAGCACCACCACCACCACCAGCACCAGAAACAGGACAGGCAAAAGCGCCAGCACCAGCCCCAGCACCAGTCTCAGCACCAGCAACATCACCATCACCACCACAAGCACAGGGTCCAGCACAAATACCGGAACTATTATAGGCAACAGCACAGGCTACAGCACCAACAACAGCACAAACACTACTACCAGCACTAACACCAGCAACAGATCCTGCACCAGCTCCAGCACTAGCACCAGCACCCCAACCAGCAGCAGAACTAGCACTAGTTCAAGCACCAGCACTGGAACCGGCACAGGCCCAAGCTCCAGAACAAGCACCGGTACGAGAACCTGCAACAGTCCAACACCACCACCAGCGCAGGCCCCAGCACCAGCACTAGCACCAGAACCAGAACCAACACTAGCGGCAGCACTAGTACAAGCACCAGCACAAGTGGAGACACCTGCCCAGGCACCAACACAAGCACCAGCACCACCACAAGCACCATGTCCAGCACAAGTACCAGAACCAGCACCACCACCAGCACCACCACCAGCACCACTACCAGCCAAAGTAATAGGAGAGGCACAAGCGCCAGCACCAGCACCAACACCACTACCAGCACTAGTATAGGCACCTGCACAAGAGCTGGCACCGGCCCAGGCACCAGCACCACACCAGCACCAGCACCAGCACCAACACCACCACCAGCCAAAGTACCAGAACAGGCTCAAGCGCCAGCACCAATACCAACACCAGCAAAAGCACAAGTTACGGCACAGGCACTAGCACCAGGACCAGAACCAGCACAAGCACAAGCACCAGCACTAACACCAGCACCGTTACCAGCACCAGCACCAGAACCAGCACCACAAGCAGCTCCAGCACCAGCACCAGACTAAGTACCAGGACAGGC